TGAACTTGAAACCGTTATGGGTCCGTTAACAGCCTTCTTTTGCACTAGATGTAACCGCGAACCAGCCTATAATTCAATGTGTTTAAAAATCGCAGAAATATTAGATCAATATTATATTCAACACCAAATTTACAGTGAAGAACATATTCGATAAATAAATTAAACAAAACAAAAAAATAAAATAAAAAAATAATAATAAGATATAATACGTGCATAAAGAAATAATACGTAAAATAATATTCTATAATTTAAATAAAATAATATTACGTGCATAAAAAATATAATAATATATACATATACGTAAATAATATTCTAAATAATACTTATATAACAATAACTTTTAACTATTTCAGAAATTAAGAAGAAAACAAAATATATATATAAAAACAAACGTAAAATTTAAAGTACAAAATGGGTGAGAACATACCACCTGTAGCACGAACCGTTCGAATGCAACTACAAACATTTGATTTTCTCAGAGAATTAAAAAACGAATTAATTGAATCAACCAATCATACACAAATAACGCGAGGGGAAGTAGTCAGATTACATTGCTTTCCGGAACACATAAGAAGGGCAAATAATAATATGACCATACCTTTCAGGCCGAATGTCTTAGCAAGGGTCATGATCCATGTTAATGACTTTGTACGCACAGTTATCATAAGACCAAATCATAGTCGACCCATGTGTGTAGAGTTGGGTTTACTAATAGAACAACTAATCAGAAGACGTGTCATCGTCGAAACGATTTTCGAAGAATAACTTCAGGAATATATCATATACATAGCAATAAATACTAAAAAACCAATTAATTTTTTAAAAAAAATAATAATTATTTTATTTTAGCTCACAGGTACGCTTTTTTATAATGGATTTCGAGTTCTTGACCGTCAGTAAGAACGAAACATTACTGGTATCCGGCGCGATATCGAATAGTTTAGAAAAGTACCAACCCAAGAAATTGGAGGGGAGTCCTCTTATACTTACAAAGGATGATAAGTTAAGAAGATTCCGCCGATGCGACCTAAAGAAAATAGTGCAGAATATCAAACGAGTATTCCGAGGGAAAAAGGCAAGAGTGATTGAACCATTGCTGGAACAGTTATACAAAAGTGTAAGTCGCCAGGGGGAATCAACCTTGTCTACGGTATACTTGCAAAGATATTTGCATATAAACGATAGGGAGCCGCTAATAGTATTTTGGAACGGAACATCAGATATCACGATAATTAAGCGTTTAAGATTAACAGGAATTTTAGCATATTTAAACATATCGGCAATTAGCGTTAGGAATAATGACGAATTTATATTAGAATTATCAAACCTAGAGACTAAGGAAGTTTTATATTCAGGTTATTTAGGTAAATTAAATAAAAATTGTAGAATGTTAGGACTATCAGAAGCTCATGAACTAGCATGCGATATTAATCATAATATTACACATTGTCACGATCCAGTTGCCGACGTAATTTTAACGAAATGCCTATTCAATTACATAGTAACAAAGATAAAGCCCATTAAACTATATAAATTAGCAAAAAAATATAAAAGGAATTTTAAGGCAAAATAAATAATAATTATTAGTTAATAAATAAATATAACACAAAATAAATTAAATAATGAAAAACAAATACATAAATTAACATTTATTATATATTTTAGATTCATTGAAGAGCTAAAAACAATTTTAAAAACAGAAGTACATATTTATAACGTTAAAGAAAATAAGTTACAATCCGTATGCTTTAATTGGCATATATTAAAGGCAAACAAGAAAATAAATAACCACTACGATCATAAAACTTTAAATAAAATAACTAGAAGCCTTGAACTTTTCATAGATGATCATTGTAATGGAGAATGCAAACAATTAGTAAAAATAATAGAAAACACTAGAGATCCAACTTACATGATGAATTACCTTGAATAGAACCATAGTTGCACATGTCTATGACAAATCTAACAATTATTCACGTAGATTAGTATATAGGTGGAAGATAAATATTATTATTATATAAAAGGGGAAATACTTAAATTGTATACTTAAGTAACGCTTATAATGTTATAATTTCAGGTACCTATATTATTTTATTAAAGATTATTAATCATTTTTATTAACACTATTTGTTTAATTAAATCATGTATTAATTTATTTTACTAACCACAATTAAAATTGTAATATGAACAAAAGAAAAAAAAACAATAATAATAATAATGATGACATTAAAAATTGTAAAATGCTCACATTATTGTAATCAAATGTAATACTATAATCAAATTGTTAACTGTATACAAAATTTAAATGTCAATGTAAACAATGTAATTCAGCCATTGTAAGCTATTAATTAACGATGTTAAAGATTCTTAACCCTTAAAGGTTAACAATCTTTTTTTTTGGTAGGGAGGTGTAATGGGATTACGCAACATCATGTATTTTGCTCATAATAACAACCAGGAATGGGATTACGCAATATCATATATTTGCTCATAATAACAACCAGGAATGCGACCACACCCAAAAGTGTTTTCGACTACGAATACCACTTTCATAGTCGTGAGGTCCATATCAAGGACGACTGTACACGCGCCGCTCACTTTCAAAGGACGCCGCCACCATATATATAGGGGACAGCGAGACAGCCTGAGTAGATGTATCCAGAGACGAGAACACCACACGACTCGCTTAGCCGCCCAGCCATCACACACGACTTACACGGAGATTATCAACTACGGAACGAGCTACAATTTATTAACAGCTGTGTATCATTATAATATTATGTAATTACTAATTGATTTCTTATCGCCCGTATAATAGTCGCGGCTAAGATTCTCGGAAATCCGTATAGCGTACCTACACGCAGTCACACTTCACTATATTTTGCAATTCAAAATGTTTCAACTCCTATGCGGCTATGAAAGTCCCCAAAAGCGGAAGAAAAATTCACCCAGTACCAAAAGCCCGAATTTAATTTTGAAAACATATTTAACTTCATTATTCTGTTTTCTAGGTTATGTAGGAAATGGATTTTCGATTTTTTCTATTGTTTAGTTAATATAGTACCAAATTAATTTTCTTTTTTTTCCAAAATTCACTTTTACTTTATTGTTACTAAAAAACATAAAATAAAAAATTTATTTCCTACATAACACAGACAAGGAGTAAACAAATCCAAACATTTTTTCAAAATGAAAATTGGATTTCTGGAAGTGTGTTTTTTTTCTTTTGCTTATTGGTCTAAATGCACGAAAAAACGACCCACGTTCAACCGCCTTAAAGAAAAATTATTATCAGGTGCATTACTTTAGGTAACTAGATTTGATTTTTATAGTCATCATTTTATTTTTTATTTACCTCGTGCAATAACTGTTTGAACAGATTTATGATGGCCTATAACTTGTTCGTTTTTTTTTATCAAAGCATATTCTCTTTGATATAATATTATATGTCTCATCAAAACACAAAATAGTTAATTTGTCATTGGTTTCCATTGTGTCTCCTTGAATAGAATAGTAATGTTAATTTAATTTAGTTTAATTAATTTAGATTAAATTAAAATACCTTTAGATTTCATTAATGACAACACTCCATGTAAAAGACCTGGTTCTACAGAACATTTTGAAGCCCAACTTCTAAGCGTGGAAAGACCTTAGAATGCATAACTATTTTTAGTATATATATAAATAATAAAATTGAAAAGTATTGGTCATTAAACTGGTAATGGGAAACCTTTTTTGTTTCTCAAATAGCGGTAAGCCTATTTTTAGTACATACCTAGCACAATAGCTTATACATATTATAATATTTCTTATGATTTCCTATTGTATTATATTATATATACTACCTACCTATACTTATTCATTTCTTCTGTTATTTACTTTATTAGGCAAAAACCTTTTGTTTAGACGATGATGAGTCCGAATTTACAAATGTATTACCTGTACCATTTGATATTAATGAACTCGAAATTGAGATTGCGGTTAATAATGAAGTTCTGGCAGTTCTTTAAGACCCTCCGGTAGAAAATATTATTGAAGTAGTAAATAATGCCTCCAATTGGGGATTTTAATGTTCTGATGACGAAAATGAATTATTTAAAAATATATTACCAGCGGCTAATATTACAGGTCAACTCCATAATGATAGGCTTAACATTATACCACCAGAAAATTGGCTTCCTACGAATACTAAACCTCATCCACATGCATTCACTGGAACTCCTAATATTACAAACAGTATAAATTCGAATTCTAATAAACTAGATTGTTTTAAAATATTTTTTACGGACTCAATAATAAAACTTATAAAAAAAGAAACTAATGGGTATGCATTTACAAGCATAAAGTCTCTGAAACGTCGTAATTTATTAAAAAAAAAATCAGATTGGCATATATGGAAACCTGTAACGTTAAGTGAATTAAAAAAAAAATGTTCAATAATTGTACATATGAGTTTGTTGAGAAACCTCATATTAAAGACTATTGGTCGACAAATCCAGTTTTGTACACACCTTTTGCATCAAGTAATGAAAAGAGATAGATTTATAAGTATTTTTTCCATGCTTCATATTTCCAATAACAGTAAATAAGTCAGCAATGGTGAACCAGGCCATGATATTTTATTTAAAATCAGATCTTACGTAAGCTTCATAAATACACAAATGTCGAAATCGTATTATCCTGATCAAAACATAACTTTAGATGAAGGCGTGCGTCCTTTTCGCGGTAGAGATAATTTTTGTCTATATGAAAAATAAACCTTAAAAATATGGAATGAAATTATATGTGGCATCTGATCCTTTAACCGGTTATACTTTAAAATTTGAAATATATTCAGGAAAAGGGCAATTAGATAATTCAATAACGTCATCATATGAACGTCTTTTATGTGATTATTTTGAAAAAGGCCACACAATATATATGTATATGGATCGATTTTACACCAGCCCTCTTGTTTTAAAATTTCTTTGGGAAAAAAAACAAATGGCGTAGGTACAGTTATGGCAAACTACAAAGGTCTCCCAAAACAATCAGTGGTGAATTGTAAATTAAACAAAGGTGAAATGACGTTTGCTAGAAATGGCCCGCAGATATGTGTTAAATGGAAAGATACTAGAGATTTTTTATTATTATCAACAGTTCATTCGGCTGATATGAAACCCGTGACTAAAAGCAAGAGGTGGCGAAATTCAAAAGTGGAGATCAACTTATAACTTATTACCTTTTTAAACGAAAGACGTTTAAGTGGAGGAAGAAAATGTTCTTTCACTTATTTAAAATAACTATAGTTAATAGTTTTATTTTATTTAAAAAAAATGCTCCTCCAAACAAAACGTATCCCTCAAAAACTTTATGCTTAAATTAGCTCAACAACTTTGTGAAATAGATGATGTTTCTAGAAACAATGTTGTTATAGACAGCATTTCTCGTCTAAAAGACAGACATTTTATATTACCATTAACACCTAGTCAAAAAACTCCATGTAGAAAATGTAAAGTGTGTATGGAAAAAATTTAAAAAAAAATTATTGACAGGGGAGAAAAGGAACATAATTTTATTGTGCAACGTGTAATATTCCTTTATGCATTTAAAGTTGTTTTGAAGCTTATCACACAAAAAATAATTACTGGGAATAATAATTCTTTCTTTATTTTATATGATCTGAACAATTTTTTAGTATTGTATAATATAATAATGTTATAATATAAAAGTTTTATATTGTAAAAGTACCAATATTTTTAAACTATTTTTATTTTGTTTTAATTTAATTTTATTGTATAAATTATTTTAATACGGATAAAAATGTTTATTTATTTTTTAAAGTTTAAATTGTTAAAAAGAAGAATAAAAGTTAAAAGGTGAAATAAGAGCAAAATGCACGTATTTATTTATTTTTTCAAATGTAATATTTAACACTCCGTACATTATGATATACTGTGTTACACTGAACAATTGGTTCACTCTGTACATAATTTTAGATGCATAATATTAATTTATAACAGAGTGTTTATAATGAGTAATTGACAAAATATCTAAATACAAACTGGTCTTATCGTGATATATTATGACGACTTTTTTTTTAATCGAAAATAGACCGTGTTTCTAGCTTGAATTGTAAATAACAGAATTGGCCCATACGAAATCTATAAAATTATATTTTTGGATTAACCAATGTATTTAAAATTAGAAAAGGAATCAAATAAATATGTGTATTATTAAATTATACACTTTAGAAAATACGTAAATAACGACCTTCCACGTGTACAAAAATGGAGGGAAACCGAACGTCTGTCATTTCATAACAAAAATGGGTCGTAGGCAGTTGCAGAAAAATGGTTGTGTTGAATCTATTGCCAACATCGAAAATAAAAAAAATATGTGAAAGTAATTATGGTTTCTTTTGATGGTAGCACTACTTGTTTGAAATTTAAAAATAAATGACAAAATACCTATATTTATATATTTATGTTATGGTTATCAGATTGTTGTTAATTTATTTATAGAAAATTATAATAACTTATAAGCAAATCGTATTTGTTTATATAAGTTATACTTATATATATATATATATATATATATATACAGTGGCGGCGTGATGCAGAATTTTTGGGTCAAGTGTCCCATCTATAAATGGGGTGGGTGGTCTGGTGGGTTGACCCGTGGATGGGTAAGTGGTTAATGTACATGTATGCAAAAAAGCTATTTATGTAGCCTACAGCATAACGCGCGTTTACAATAATGAATGCAGCAGTATTATAACGCGCGTTTACAGCTTTCCGGCGCGTTGCAACGCGTTAACGCGCGGTGTCATACATCCTGTGTACATTTTCTACGCTCTTCATGTGAACCTAGCCTAAAACCACGATAAGCAAGTTTATTTCTAATAATATGAATAAAATTGGAAATTACCCTGGCGTAATAAAAACATAAACATAGTTTATAAATATAACATATCGTTATCAGCGCACATTCCCATTTCCCAGAAACGACTTTTGCTGGCAGCCCGCACAATTATTATAGTGTTATTATTGCAACAACCAGTGACTACTGACTGAGAGACCTATTATAGATTATATTAATTTTAATATTTATTTACGATTAACTTTGTTAATTTGTCGTCATTACTTGTGTCTTGTCAACATTCAAAAATGAATTCTCTGTGTCCCAGTTGTGGTAGAACACGTGATTCACTCAACAACACTAACTGGATTCGACATAAAGAATCTTGTCAAAAAAAAAAAAAGCCTGTAAAAAGAAAAATGACTGCTTCTAGTTCAATTTCTGACTATTTTAAATTTAACGAACGAGCAGAAAAATGTCAAAAATTTGAACAATTACGTAAGTATTGAATGTCGTAGAAACGATGATGTAATTAACATACCTACCTATTATTTTAATTTGTCAGTAATTTTTTTTTTCATATTTTAAATGGCAACTTATTTGTTGGTTATTTGAATTAATTATTCTTCTCAATTCATATTTTAAAGAAATTGTGGAAAATAAAGTAATTGATAATTTGGACATGCCAATTCCTGGTACATCAGATGAGGCAGATGAGCAGTGTGCTTTACCAGCTGCTGGTGAGTAATTACTAAATAATATTTATTTTTAAAATACATTTTAGTCTGATTGGAAATAAGGTCATTTTTATTTTACATAGCCCGTAGGTATTTTTCATAAATTAGGGGAATAAATTCTGAAATTCTAAGCACTAAAGCAGAGTATTGATTCATTTTTTTTTTGACATTCATAAAACTATCTAAATTGACTATAATAATACTATTATGATACACCAAATTTAGTCAAATTAAATTGATAGCAGATATTTTATTTATTAATGATAGAAAAAAATTAATCAATCATCATTTATTCTATTAGTAATTTTTTCATTTTTAAAATACTCTTATTTTCTAGTTATTTAAGTTAATTATTCATGGTCATATTATATATTTATAGAAATTGTTGTTAATGAATACAAAGTTGTTGATGATTTGAACATACCGATTCCTGGTACATCAGATGAGCTGTGTCCTCTACCAGCTGGTAAGTAATCATGTTTCTTTAAGTTTTAATTTTTGATAAATTAGGGGGAATAAATAATTATGAAATTCTAAGCACTAAAGCAGTACCTATTGATTCAATTTTTTTTTTCTTTGACATTCATAAAATTATCTTTATGCACAGTCATATGATGGAGCTGCTTCAATGCAAGGGGAGTATTCTGGTTTGAGAACATTTATCCAAAATGAAAACCCACAAGCAGTATATGTCTGGTGCTTTGCTCATATAATGAATTTAGTAATAGTTGATACTTTAGACTATACTACAGACATAAGGAATTTTTTTGGAGAATTACAAAGCTTAGTAAGCTACATGAGAGCTAGAAAACGTACAGCAACATTTTACGAATGCCAAAAGAATTTAAATGTCGGAACCAAATCTAAGGATCGCATTCGGAAGATAAAAAATTTTTCCGATACTAGATGGACGTCACATGACCGCGTTATTTCTGTGATTCATGATAAATTTGACGCATTAATTGATACTTTAAATATTCTGTCCAGCTCAACAGATAGAGTAACATCTTCAAACGCACGCATTTTCTTACAAACAATTTCATCATTTAATTTTATATTGATTTTAAAATTGGTAGGCAGAATATTTTCAATTACAACTCCTACATCGTGTTACTTGCAATCTAAAAACATTGATTTTATTCAAGCTTTTCAACTAATAGACAATGCTAAAGAACAATTAGTTGCACTTCGTTCTGATGAAAAGTTTGATGATCTAGCTGAAGACTCTAAAAAATTTGCAATTGATCATAATTTACCAGAATCAAATTTTAAAGAGTCCCGTGTACGTAAAAAAAAGAAAATGGCTGGTGAACAAGCAAATGATGAAATAATTATTTCAGCGTCAGAAAGGTATGATTATTATAATATTTAAATAGGTACCTACATATTTTAATGATTTTAATTTTTTAATTTAGATTCAAAATCAACACTTATTTCAAAGCATTAGATCAAATCATAACATCAATTACTAATAGATATAATGGAGCTCGTGACATTTTTAAGGATTTATCACTTCTCTCTACAAATCGATTAATGGAAGTTTCCAAATCTCCAAATGTAATGCCCATAGACTCATTTCTTTATTTATCGAAATGGATAAAAGACATAAATATAAAAAAACTGAAAAATGAGTATATTATATTCAGCAAAAATTTCACAGAACTTATAAGTGGTATAACACTACCAACAAAACTTCATTCAATTGAAACTGAAACATCAGAAAATATGTTGAGTATGGATTTAGATGATGAATCATCAGATGATGAAATAAGTATTGAAGAGATTAGTAAAAATGATGGACCAACTGCATTGGAAATAATGCATCTTCTTCCTACTTATGATTTGAAATTATAATATTTCATATTTTAAATGGCAACTTATTTGTTGGTTATTTGAATTAATTATTCTTCTCAATTCATATTTTAAAGAAATTGTGGAAAATAAAGTAATTGATAATTTGGACATGCCAATTCCTGGTACATCAGATGAGGCAGATGAGCAGTGTGCTTTACCAGCTGCTGGTGAGTAATTACTAAATAATATTTATTTTTAAAATACATTTTAGTCTGATTGGAAATAAGGTCATTTTTATTTTACATAGCCCGTAGGTATTTTTCATAAATTAGGGGAATAAATTCTGAAATTCTAAGCACTAAAGCAGAGTATTGATTCATTTTTTTTTTGACATTCATAAAACTATCTAAATTGACTATAATAATACTATTATGATACACCAAATTTAGTCAAATTAAATTGATAGCAGATATTTTATTTATTAATGATAGAAAAAAATTAATCAATCATCATTTATTCTATTAGTAATTTTTTCATTTTTAAAATACTCTTATTTTCTAGTTATTTAAGTTAATTATTCATGGTCATATTATATATTTATAGAAATTGTTGTTAATGAATACAAAGTTGTTGATGATTTGAACATACCGATTCCTGGTACATCAGATGAGCTGTGTCCTCTACCAGCTGGTAAGTAATCATGTTTCTTTAAGTTTTAATTTTTGATAAATTAGGGGGAATAAATAATTATGAAATTCTAAGCACTAAAGCAGTACCTATTGATTCAATTTTTTTTTTCTTTGACATTCATAAAATTATCTTTATGCACAGTCATATGATGG